TTTTTTTTTTACTATAATAGTTCTCCTAAACATGTGAAAAGCTAGCTTATCCTACACCAAGTTTGTATAATTCTTGCGAGCCATTTGAACACCATTCGAGCACTAGCAAGGTCTTGGTGATTTTCTGATTATTCTTCAACAGGTTTGGTGGTATGGTTTGGTGGGCAAATCGGGAGGAGTTCCAAGCCCAACATTAGAGCAATCCCATTCCTCAGACTCCATAAGATCTTTTCCAACCACGATCAGCAAAACTTTAGGAGTGACAAAGTGCTGTTGGACGAAATAAACTTCATTTGTAATGGGAAAAAAAAAATTGCAAAAAAAACTGCACGGGCGTGAAGGCAGCTGAGGAACTAGCGACTGAAAGCACTTGTCTTATTTGTAAGTATTCGAGCTGGTTTGAATTTTATTATTTTCAAACAGCACTGCGCCTTCAGAACGCGACAAGTTTGGTTTTACGTTTTCTTGTTTTATATAGCAGAACAAGGTTATTCCTTCGAAGAATAACTCAGCAGCAATCAGGATTATCTGGCATGCGGTACCGATGACGCGGTAACCCACCACAACAACAACACACTTGGCGAGCAGTGGTGGTTTCATGTTCTGGACCCCACATGAAGAAAAAGCGCCTGCACATGCAACTGCACCAGAATTGCAGCACGAGCGGTGGGAGTAGTGCCAACTAAAAGGTGCTCGTGGAACATTAGCCAGGGGACGAAGCCCCTGCATGGCCTTCTCCCTTCAGCTTCCTAACTGTCAAAGCCACCTGGGTCTGGGAACAGCAACAATTGGGTTTCACCTTGGAGCCTCCAGAAACCGGGCCCCACCGTTTGTGAAGCTTCTATTGCCACAACAAAACTCCCAGTTTTAGGTCGAAAAAAAACATGAGACCTTTTACGAATGTCCTGCCCCCGAACTCCCAGATCCAGATCTATTGCGCTTGGTGGGCAGTCCGTGTCCAAATGTTGTTATTTTTATCAGGAATGATAATGGAAAAAGTATTGGAACGGATTTTAAAGTGCCAACAAATTAAAATTTGTAAAAATTTAGGTTTGAATAAACATTCTTCCACAAATTATTCGAGCATAGGTGATTCTAAACGAATGTTTCTTTAAACATATTGTTAGTGTAAGGCTACATTAAAAATTGAACATATATGCTTATTTACAACACTACTTCCAATAAAAATAATCTACATAATTTCATTCTTAAAATTGACTTTTGGTATTTAAAAGATACACAACAACAACAAGTTATTTCAAGTTAACTTTAACTTTCCACAATAAAATCAATGTTTATCACAATTCCAAGTGAAAAGTTTTAATCCAAATTTTGATATTTTTTAAAGTAGGATTTTTCAAAAAATAAATTATATTCTTTGATTATTTTATTATTATTATTATTATTATTATTATTTTCTTCCTTCTTGTCCTATCTAATTCTTCATGTGTTAAGTTTAATACTTTGGTTTTAATTCTAGAAAAAAAACGCCAACTCCAATCATTCCAATCTTTTCAGTTTGAGACATACATACATATATACATACATTTATATGGCATTGTTTCTAATCAATGTATTCATGTAAAACAATCTATTAAAGATTGTTGTCAGAACATAATATCTTCTTAGATTAATTAAAATTTCTTCGTATTTTTCTATCTTTAATTTATTTGAGCTCATTTCTCACTTTATTTAAAACAAAAGCTCAAGAAATAAATTCATTGAGATCAAAGTATAACTATTTTGAGGTCAACATATACGTATTTTGCTTCAATGTCATCAGTTATAAGTTTTCAAAGCCATTTTTGACGAGGTAATTAAATTTATCAGATTAATAAAAAAAAATCATAAGTATAGCACATATTTCAAAATTCACAAAGAATATCACCATTGTCAGTTAATATTTTGATAAATAGTAAGTACAATGTTTTAAAAACTACACATTCATACACATTTTATTCTCTTTTAACAATGAATCTAACTATTATCTGATTTTTGAAAATTATTATTACCTCAGCTGTCATCAATTAATTCAACAACATTCATTACATATTAGACACCCAAAACCATCCATTGTTCCATTGTTCCATTAATCATCCACTACGAAATATTCATCCACACACCAGAATTCATCCACGACATACATTCATCACCAATACTCGTCCCGTTGCATTCAACCAATGACACCCTAGTGAGGAAAAAGAAAAGAAAGGAAGTAAAGGAAAAATCAAAAGGTATAACTGAGTTAGCATTGAAGAGTAGTACAGGCAAGGATGCTAGAATGTTTTGCTTTTTGAGACTATTAGAGTCAAATAAATGATCATAGTGTCAATGATGACATTAAAGCATTCCAAGCATTCAAATCTCCAAATAGAGAGGGCGGGCATTGAGTCCCATCGTTGTCAATAATACGAGCGCACTCACGCTGAGTCACCGCAACCCTCCGAATCTCGACAAGTGGTAGGCCTCAAGGAATACCATTTGGCACTATTTGGTGCACTGCCAATATTCTGTTGGCACCGCCAGACTTTGTGATCGCAAGACAGCGACGTCCGTCCCCATCATCGTATTATACAGCGTAATTTGAAATCAGGAAGGCGGGCGTACGAATATTGGGAACGTGGTGGAAGGGATTCTGTTCCCAGCTGTCTGGCTTGTGAAGCGGATTCTCTGAATCGGAGTTGCCACTTACCGGCAATTGTCCCCGCTGCTGATGGAGCTTGGTCACGTCTTTGAATCGTGGCTTGCTGATAGCGGTTGTCAAATCTCTTGGATGGGAGCCTTTAATGGACATCTACAGTGGTTGTTTGGATTGATTTTTTGAGGCTTCGGAAGTAGAAGTTTCAAGTCATGTTAGGTGATTGTTGGACGATAATTAGTTTAGTTTGGTTTAGTTTTTTTTGGCATTTTGAGGAAAACTACTTAACGTGTTTTGATATTTCGGTATTGGAGGAGCCTTGTGTTTCTTTAATATTTTATGCTGTCAAAATATATGATTGCTCGCTCAAAGAGTAAATTCGTAAATGTCGATGGACATTGTTTTCGTCTCCACGTCATGAGCTCGTTTTGAACGCTTCGGCCATGGTTGGCAGATTTCTTCCAAACGATGAAGAATTAAGCATTGCCAAATAGAGACAGTGTGGAAGGTTGCATCTGTCTTCGGTGATCACGAGATGCACAAAATAAATTACAAAAAATATAAGCAAAAAGTTAATGAAGGAGGGAATGATTCTTTCACTGTGGACTCCCGGATATATCCACAAATGTTTCTGACCTGATGAAAGGTCAAGCCTTAAAATGATGAAGCTGAACCTGCCATGTCGACGGTCACACAAGGCTGAATTATTCATAGTTCCGTTTATTGTTTTTTTAATCACTAGCCACCGACCGTTTGAAACAAGGCACAGGAAAGACATGCAGGTAGAAGGGGTCAAGATCCTGTGCCCTTCATAATCGACTGGCGGCTTGCTGCTTTTCGCTCGGTTATTATCTCGGATTTCACTTCGGACTTTACTTCATCGAGAGTTTTCGAAAATTCCATTTCTTTCTTTTTTCTTGAATATTCAATACTGCATCCATGATTTAGGCATTTAGCCCGATTGGTCTTTTTTACCAACTCCCAGCACTCCATGACATCATGTGCATGCATAAACTTCAACGTTGAATGTTCTTCATGCCCTTGCTTCCGTGCTGCCGGGATGGTCAGGGTCATGTTCTCCTGCGTTTATCTCGGAGATTATCCGGGGCATGTTTTCCTGCCTAATCGTCATTCCAACTCTCGCTATCTGAAACAGTGTCGACTTGTTTTTATTTTGACTTTTGTTATGATGACTTTTACGACATCAAAGTTGTTTGCAAGTTTTCGATCGAATGGCAGCTGTAACTCACATTTAGAAATTGTTGAACCCAGACCATTAGTGGTGCAGACAAGTGAATTGATTTCTCTTGAAGATTCAAAATCACCGTAGCTTGATGGTCAAGATTGTATCATTCAAGACTGACATCTTGGATGGCAAGCCATAATTCGTCGGCCTTGTTGATTCCTCCACGGCCGGATTGTCTTGTTTACCTTAACTCCATAAAATTTTCCTGGTAAATCTGAGTGCTTGAATGTTGAATGTTTATCTAATATTAGCCTAGCGAAGGTCAAATCAGATTGTGATGTTGGCTTTCTAAGATTAGAATTCCAACCTTGACGAGTCACAAGTAATTACTCCAGGGCTCACTCACTATCCCGACCAGCTATGATGCATGAGTTGGTGCCGGATGAAGTGTGGAAAGAAGATTCTTCTCCCATGGACTTATCTCAGATCTAGAAATATATAATCTTGGTTTTCTAAGTATGGTAAGTGTATCGCTCCCCAGACGTTGCATCTTTCGTGCATCATGTTCATCTGCGTTGAGCCCATAGTCACTTCGTCCTGGTCACATATGTTGCTATGCTTTGGCGTATCCATGCCAAGGCGACAGTATTTTACTTTCCACTCATACCTGCTTCCAAGGGCGTGTGAATCCTTGATCATCCAGAGAGAACGAGAGAAAGTGTGATCATGGGTGCAATGTGTAGCTTTCCAACACTCCCGTGTCAATCGCCACTAAAAACACAAACCGGGGGAAGTGCGACATTTCATGCACACTGTTGAACACCGGTTAAGGTAGCGAAGGTGGCTGGAAAATGATTACAGAGGGACGAGGAAAGTGTGAATCGCATCGAGAATTGAAATTCACTTCTTCGTAGGGTGAACAGGGAGTGTGGCAGGTATGATTTGGGGGGCGAGGGAGGGGCGCGAGGTCAACTGCGAAGGGGCAGGTGAGAGGGTGCGTGGCTACTTTTAGGGGCCGTCGAAAGCCTTTGTCTGTAGCGAAGTCTGCGGATAAATGCGCGGGGGGCGAGGGGGCATCGGAAAGGAGCCTACACTAGGGGCTGATAACCGTGCTTGGTCTTTGAGAGGAAGATCTCTAACGAGAATACTATAAGGGCTAGTGCTAGTGGCAGTTTCACAAGACTGCGCGTGAATCGTTCTTGTTGAAGATCGCAGTTCCTTTTTGTGTTTATCAACTAGTGCTTAGCGCCTTTTGAGACAGTTGCAAGCAAAGGCTGTGTGTTTCCGTGGCTGTCTTGGCGAAGAGAGGGAGAGCGGATGTTGTTAACGTATTGAGCGGACAGGGAGCAAAATCGAGACCTTCTCAAGGTTGGGGCCGACTTCTCCGTGGATCTATTTTTTTTCATACGTATGACTTCTTAGTTGTGCAGTGCAAACGAGTACTGGTTGTAGATTTCAAATTTGGCGTATGCGAGATAGCAGAGAGGAAATTGCGTTTAGGTGTAGTTTGCAATTGTGCACTTGGGCACGTCGGACCTCAGTTTTGCGGACGCGCGGTCTTTGGTGATGAGCGGGTCCTGGTTTCTTTCTAGTTCCTCCATTATTACTCTTGTTTGGTAGTGTTGAGTCCGAGGTTGTGAGTACGCTTGGTTTCGTTGTTTTGGGTTGTCGTTGTCGTTAGGCTTATTCCACGGTTCTGAGGATTTAATTTTTAGAAGACTACCACTCAAATCTTTACCTCCTCATCGTCTCTGTCACGTCCTTGAACTGGCATTGTTTGAGGAAATTGCAAAGAACTTGTTGGACTTAAGCGGAGTCACTCTGAAATCTTTTATCAATATTTGGTGTGGTGGTTTATTTTAGCACGAGGTACGCAGCTGTGAGCCGACTTCAGAGGCATGGACTAACTATTTCCGTGATTATTTGCCAGCTTCAGGGACAGTTATAGAGCGACGAACAACTTCTGCTTGCAGTGAAAATCTTCCAGCAAGTTTCTACAGGCTCTAATTTTTCGACATTCTAACTGGATCACAGCTTGTCATTCAGGTACGTACCCGTGAAAATTTGCACTCAGGACTTCAAAGGATTGTAGCATAATATATGCAAGAACTTGCGAATATGAAGCGGCACGTTGTTGTCATCGTTCTTGCACCACGTGTTGCATGTCAGTTTTTGTCCGTTACTTTGTTGCGACTTTCAAGTCTCGTGATCTACTCGGATGAATTGTAGTTTTTATTTTTATTTTTATTTTTTTGCAACTGCATTCCTACCTCACATGGTCCCCATCCTTGGACAATATTCTCCGCGCTTTTTAGGGAATCTTCCTTGATTATTTGGACTGAATGTTACGATTGGCTTTAACAAGATTTTTAGAAAACTTTTTAGCCCTTTGCCTTTTGTGCTATGTGGCGTTGGAGAATTGAGTCTTTTGTTCAAAAAATAAACACATAGATTTCCCCCAAAATTATCTGCTAGGTCCTCTGCATGCAAGGTCCTTCCGACAGTGCATAAAAATTGCCGCTAGCGTTTAGAACTATCTTGGCATTTATACAGTGGAAGAAGGTTCTGGGGTCTTATGTTCACCTTCATTGTAGGGGGCTTATCGGGACTCAATGAAACGATACATGCAATGTTAACAATCCAGTTTCAAAGGAAAATCAAGATTCTAGTTTCTCATGTGATGCTTGTGAGGAGTCTTTTCCGTGAAGGCTCTTTGTCGATGAATCCCTTTGCCCTTACGTTTTGGCAGTGATTATGTCTTGTTCCATACCTCACCTCATGTAGTATAGGACCATCACATTTGTAGGAACGTTTCAAAGTGTCTCTGTCGCTAAATCTTAGGATGCTAAATTCACCGCTGTTTCACAGCAGAAATTGAAGAGATGTTTTTTCAGACTTCTCAATGTCGATCTCGGTGCATTTGTGCAGGTTTATTTGCGTCATACCTGCTGAAACGACTTTGACTCAGATTGTTTACCAGCGGTATGCAGAGTGGAGAGAGCTAATATTAGTTCACTGAGATAAACAAATATTTTAGCACTGGAAAATAGTCGAAGTAAGTTCTTTGATTGAAGGAGTCGAAGTACTAGCAAGGAACGCATTTTTCTGACTATTTCCAGTCGGACAAAGAAGGTAACGAGCATGATTTACAAGTGCGAACCGGATTGTCCGATTAATTTCAATAGATTCGATCAAGGAAACATTGAAAGTGCAGAAGTAGGCTTGCTACGAGCGAGCTTGTCTACACTAGGAGAAGGAATGGTGGGTGGTATGTCATTAAGGTCCAAGCGAGCAACTCTCGGTGGAGAGTCTCCAGCCACCCCATGCGCAGGAACAGTATCGCTGTTGACTAATTCCTCTTTGAAGCCAGCAGCAACGAATGGAACCTCGATTTCCATAAAATCTACGGCTGTTGCCGTGCCGAAGAAGCATGGACCTTATGCTGACAAGGGTCATTTGATTACATGGGTCGATGCAATGAGGTCGCAGTCACCACCACGATTTCGCTCTCCACATGAAGAGGCTCCTGAAGCTTTTGAGATCAAGACAGCGGCGTACTCCGCGTGGCTCGTAAGCACCTCTATAACTTTTTATTTGTATTGCTATTTAACTCAATAGAATATTGTTTTTTTTTCTGTTTTTAAAACCTTCCTCTATTTTTTCCTGCCTGTTTGAAGTGATCAATGTTTACTCTAAGGTCGAAGATCTTGGCTACTTAGATGAAAAAGGTTAGAATCTTTTTGGAAGTGGACATTTTTGAACAATTCTTCTCGTGAATAACAGGACAAGCATCCTTCAGCTTTGAGCTCGTTTGACAAAGTGGTAAAGCATGCAAAGTCCAAGCAAATAGTTGTATTTCTCGACTATGATGGTACTCTATCACCCATCGTTGACAATCCAGACCGGGCTTTAATGTCTGACGAGGTGAGCTTGCCTTTCAAAGCATCTACAACAGTAAAGTGAAAGAGGGTTCGTAGCAGTTGCAACTTTGAGTTTTTACTTGTGATGTATTTCTGCTATCATGAAGTACTATTGCAGTGAATTATTGACATTCTTCGTCTTCACGATTGCTCAACCTCTCTGCTTTGTCACAGATGCGGGCCACAGTAAAGGAGTTGGCAACTTATTTTCCAACAGCAATTATCAGTGGAAGAGCTCGCCCGAAGGTGAGGCTTCGGTCGTTCTTTTCATAGCAGTTTCCTCGGTCATGGAAAATATTTAGTGGGTGGCCATCGTACTTCAATTCTTCCTTCGCATTGGTACATTTTTAATTTTTTTTTTATCATAGTGATTCATGCCAACTGAATGTGGGCGTATTACTCTATTTTTGAACAGGTATACGATTTTGTGCAACTGTCGGAATTGTACTACGCGGGAAGTCATGGAATGGATATAATGGGTCCTGCGAAAAGTTCAAGTGGTTTTAAAGTCAACGGAACTCGAGTTAAAGACAAGAAGGTGAGTTCCATGACTTGACTTATACTGCCAAGTTCATATCTGAGACCGATACATGACACCTGTGTATATGTCCTTCGTAAGCTTATTTTAATTGTCTACTCCTGCTTACAAAGATTTTCTTTGCACAGGGTAATGATGTTGTATTCTTCCAGCCTGCAAGCGAATACCTTCCAATGATGGACAAGGTACGCACTTAGATTCTGGTATTTTTTTAATGATGATATTGGACAATTACGCAGTAAGGTGTGTAATAATGTAGAGGGGGTGTGGCTGCTTAGGATGACAACTCAAAATGACTGTTGCAGATATTCAACTCCATTCATTTGCAAAAATGAAGTTGATTGACGATCCCTGTGCATGCATGCAGGTTTGCAGTATTTTGAACGAGACCACAAGAACCGTCAAGGGTGCTCGGGTTGAACACAACAAGTATTGTGTGACGGTTCATTTCCGTCTTGTGAAGGAAGAGGTATTTTGAGATTGAATCTCACTCCGTCTGATTGAATGTTTAATTTGCTTGAGGTCTTAATGCCTTGAACACAATCGAAGCCGCACTTTAGCAGCATTGACCTATGCATATAATTCTACAAGAACAGTCATCCGATGAAGTTGTTTTTGGTTTTATGGTGCAGCTTTGGGAGGGACTTGTGACAAAAGTTCAAAATGTTTTGAAAGAGTACCCTATGTTAAACCTCACGCATGGCCGAAAGGTATGCAGATTGTACAGTTTTATTTTATTTTATTTTATTTTATTCTTGCAATCTGGAAGGATCCTCAGTCATACAGTTTTTGGTAAGGATTGTGCTCAAAATTGTGCTGAGAATGTATTTTTGCATCTAATGATCAGGTGTTGGAGGTACGCCCATCCATTGCATGGGACAAAGGCAAAGCTGTAAACTATCTTCTGAATTCTCTTGGTACGTGCAGTTCCACTGATAAGCAATATTGCCTAGAAAACCCATGTTACATGATTGCAACTGTCAAATGTCGTTGAGTTCAGTCCTAAAGTGTCAAAACTGGGTCTAATACCGAAAAAAAAAATGTAAATTGAACTTGCAGGTTTTGCTGATTCAAGTGATGTTCTACCTGTGTATATTGGAGATGATCGAACAGATGAGGATGCCTTCAAGGTATTAACAGAAATGATTGAATTGATATCTGCAGAGGTTTTGTTTGGTTGCTCTGCAAAACTTGGGTAGTGATGTTTAGTTCAATTCTATCAACATCGTGTTAAACTTTGTAAAAAACGTATTTTTTTTCTCCCTTCATTTAGTTGACCAATAAACAATTTGAAAAAATTGTCGCAACTCACAATATGCTCCGATTGTGATGTTCAGTTGCTGAATGGTATGAAGCACGGCTGTAGTATTTTGGTTTCATCCATCCCTAAGTCAACGAAGGCCACTCTTTCGCTTCGAGAACCTTCAGAGGTACTTCTTTTTCTTTCCTGTGACAGCATTCAGTATTGTGCAGCCAATATTTGAATGCACATAGTTTGTCAAATCTGTTCATCAGTATGTTGTGTAACTTTTCTGACACAGAGATTACTCCCGCAGGTTATGGAATTCCTGGGACGCCTAGTGAATTGGAAAAAATGGGGACCCGAGAAATGGAATGGCGTTCAAAATGGTCGATATTTCATGAACTAGATTGTCGTGACAGTCGCCACCTGGACCAGAGCTACCTTTATTTTGGTCACTTGACATCATTTGCCGGAGTCTATCAAATCAATCTTGACAAATTTTTTCTTTCCTTGTCAAGTTTTGGCTATTTCTATTCGAAGTCTACCACCACATCCTCAGCAGTTGTAAAGATGTTTATTCATCAAACGCATTACTCAACATCTAATGATGAGATCACCATTCAAACACGGGCAGAGGCAATCAACTTTGGTTGCTCTTGTATATAATTTCGGAGGTGAGGATTGATGCTGCAGTGACGAGTACACTCGAAGTGCTAAGTGGCGATGTAGACCCTTTGTAGGCAATTTTGTACAATGTAGTGGACCTAGGTCTCAATTTTGGGGAAAGAGTAGATATCTGTGGCAAGGGTAGAGAGAGTGGTCTCATCTTCAGCCAGGCCGAACTTTTTGCTTTCTACTTCTTTTTTATTTTTTTATTTCCTTTACTTTCTTTCTGTACACAATTTTAGCGACGCCTCTGGTATTATGTCCTTTCATTCTGTCACTCTAATTGAAACAACAGTGGTCACGGCTGTGGCATCCTGAAGTTTCTACTAGCCCCTGGAGTTGATTCTACATAACCCTTTAGGCCACGTTTGAGGATACTGTATTACTTGGTTCATACGTCAATGAAAACACTAGTACAAGCCGGTATCATATTCACTTTTCTCTCGCTTCTGTCTTGCCTTTGATTGTTTTGAGTTCCTTGTGCGGCATATGTTTGAATGATCTCTATTGTTGTTTCGGTAACTGCATAATTGTATGAATAAGAAATGGAACGAATGGGCTTCTTAGCACAAATTATGTAATCCAAAGTTATTGAAAGTGATGAGCATACATAAAATGCATGGGTTCAAAACAATATATTTAGTAATTAATATGAACAAGCAGATGTAAATGTAAGGATGACTTTTATTCTTTGTGCACAAGTTTGGAAGTCCTACCAAAGCAACTAAAAGAATTAGTGGAATTAACTCTTATATCTTTCTATACATCAATTAACAAGTCATTATAGTGATTATATCACTGTTATCTTTAAAGCTCGAACTCTTGGTGAATTGTGTGATTTATACAATATTTTTTTTTTCTTTACTTTGGAATATTATATTTTAGAATTTATTAGTATAAAATGACACCTAAAAGCAATTATTGTGTCCTAACTAACCTAAAAGATTGTGTTAACAAGTTTAGTGTAATTTGTTCTTATCCACTCACTTAAGGTAAAGTAATTTGTAGCTATAAGAATGTATTTTTGCAAATATTAATGCTTGCCAAACTCAAAAACTACAAATAGTTGTCAATGACAATAGAGAGCATCTTCAAGAAAAACAATCTTCAATACTTACTTAAGCTATTATTTAGTCAAAATTCCATGTAAGAACCTTTAAGCCAAACAAACAACACAATTTAGGCAATTCTATGAAAACTCAGTTTTTTATATTTATTTTTTGATAAAATATATTGCTTGTTGTTTTGATAAAAAATAAATAAATTATTGAGTTCTTCTGATCTTCTTTATTTTTGACTAGTATATAATAAAAATATATGATTTTCTTGTACTTAATATAAATATAAATTTACATCTATAAAAAAAAACTAATAAAAGTGCCACAACTAACTCTTTTATAAATAAGTGAATAGTAGCAAGATAGCCAAGAAAACACAATACTATTAAAAAAAATCAGAAGCTTTTGATAAAAGTTTAATATTTCCAATAAGAATTGGGCATAGTAATTTATTAGAATTTTTTATAAGGTATATTTTAAAATTATTCTTCTACATTGATAATTACATTTAGATTGAATTGATGTATTTTAAAGAACCTTTTGGCAAAGACCTCTATTAGCAAATGGAAATTTTATAATAAAAATAGAATAAAATATTTATATACATACATTTAGATATATTTTAAAATATTATTTTATAAAGTAATAACATATTCTTATGTATTTGGATCTTGACATGATATTTGGTATTTTTATTTAAATTATTATAAATAATTTTATTTAACTTACAAAAAAAATTGATAAATTTTGACTACAAAATCTCATAGAAGATTTTTTAATTCTATTGCATCTATTATTACAATAAATAGGTCGACATATTTAACCTCAATTAATGAAGTTTTAGTCATTATATGTTTTTTTTAAAGTCTTTATGATAAAAAATCTTTTAAACATAAAATCAAATATATTTTCAATTTATTGTAAATAAGTAAGATCAATCTTTTTGTAAGTTTTCTTTTCTTCTATCTTCCATCCATTCTCTTTTTTTTTGACTTCCAATTGGAATTAATAAAGCTATTCAATTCCATATTGAAGATATTCTTATGAAAAATGAAATAACTATAGATACTCAAAACCTAACAAACAAGATGTTTGGCAACTCAAAGGTGCTTAGAATAACTATTGCAAACTTAAAAGAGACTAAAGAGTCTTAAACCAAGACTAAAACATAAGAAGAGAGTTGACAAGATAATAGATGGCTTTAGTCTTACTTCTATATATACTAGCATAAAAATAATCTTATTGAAGCTTATTAAATATAAAGGATATGAATCTAGAAAAAATAAATCTTCAATATACTCTTGTATCACTTGAAAAGACTAAAAAACCATTCAAAGATGCTAATATATTGAACTAGATTCATTATTGTCAAAGACAAGAAGTCTAAAAAGTCTTGATATAAGACTAAAGACTAATAAAGTATTGACAAGAGTGGAGAAGACTTCACTCTTGCCTCCATATATACTATCTAACTAGAAGTTATGTGGTAATGTTCTATAAGATCTTCAACACATGTTGACTTTACTAAATATATGTTTAAACTTGCAAGATAAGTTTTTTATATGTGCACCACATAATTAACTGGTTCGACAAGCTATCAACATAAGTGACATGTGGTTAACTTGTTGATCAAGTTTCTAATCTACCAATCAACTACAAATATGTGTAAAGTCAAAATCGTATCTATAAAGCTTTTAAGAAGCTTCTTTAAAAGATATTATGAAATTGATTTATATTTACGAATTTCTATCTAATCATATAGATAATTATTGAAATAAATATATATGTCAATGACATTATTTTTTCTTCTAAAAACAAGTTTCATGAGGAGCAGTGATTATCTTTTGTAGATCTTACTATTTTTTTTTATCTTGGTTTTGATAGATGCCTTTGATGAAAAGCCTCATCTCTTTTTGTTGCATTTATAAGATTCTTTGTTGGCTCCTATGCATATTCACTACTATCATACTTGCATCAATGAATAAGATATTTCAATCTATTTTGATATTGTCTTGAATCTAAGATTTCTTCTACTTTCAGTAGCTAAGATTAACTATGGGATCCACAACAAAGAGCTTCTTATAATTATGGATTCTTTCCAAGCATAGCATCATTATCTAGAAGGCACTTCTAGTCCAATCACCATATATATAAATCACAAGAATCTTGAGTATTTTATATCAGCTCATGTTTTGAATTCTTGCCAAGCTTGTTAGAGTATGTCTTTGTCAAGATTTGAGTTCAATATTACTTATCAGGGAGAAAAAGAACAAAGTTTGTCTCATGTCCTTTCAAGACATTCTTATCTTGCACTTAAAGAAGAAAATGCAACTTTTAATTGACAAAAGATATTTTTATTGAAATGAAAACAATTTCATCTTTGAGCAGTGAAATCAATATTAACTGTTGATTCAACTTTTCTTAAACAAATTCAATTAAGTATGTCCTCTGATCCTCTTGTTCATGATATCAAGAATATTTCTTTTAAGTCTCATGATATTTCTAAGTTTGAATTCAAGAACAACCCACTTTATTTTGAAAGACACCTATATGTGCTAGAAATAGAAGTATATTTATGTGTTCTTCAAGCACGTCATAACTTTCTAGCAGCAAGATATTTTGGATACAAAAAGACCTTAAAATTAATATTTAGAGATTTTTAGTGGTCGCAAATGTGGAAAGCTGTAAAAGTCATTATTTAATCATGTGATATTTTTTCAAGGTCAAAATCTCCTTGGCATCGACCTTATGGACTTCTTCAACCATTACTTATTCTATAACAACCATGGTCTTCTATTTTTCAAGGATTTTATTATGAATCTTTTAGTTTCAAGTTCGTATGATTCTATATTTGTGATAGTAGATCATTTTATAAAAATGGCATGTTTTATACTATGCCCAAAATCTATCATAGGTAAAAAAACTACCAAGCTTTTCTTTGATAATATCTATGGATATTATAGATTGTTGAAAGATATTATATTGCATAGGGAGACTCAATTTGTATCAAGATTTTGGAGAACTCTTTTTAAGATTTTAAAAGTAGACATAAAGCTTTCTTTGATCTTTTATCTTTAAATTGATGGATAAACAAAGTACGTAAACCAAGTTTTGAAGCAATACTTAAGGTGTACCATCAATTATCAATAAGACAATTGAAGAACCCTCTTGCTATTGGCAAAGTTTTCTTATAATAATATGATGCATTCTTCTATATAAAAAATATCTTTTTTTACCAATTATGGTTATCATCCATGATTTGATACTTTTGACTTTTCAAAAGTTGATAAACTTGTGGCAGAAGGTTTGACAAATTATTTATCAGAGCTACATGCAACAATGAAGGTGTAATTAAAGGAAGCTCAAGAACGACAAAAGATCAACACTGATGCCTATCAAAAGATACAATGATAATTCAATGTAAGCAATAAAGTATGATTTCTTCATCATAATATCAAGATTATTTGTCCATGTGATAAGTTGGACTATCGCAGGCTTGGGTTTTTTTTATTTTTTTATTTTTATTTTTTTATTTTTTATTTTTTATTTTTTATTTGTGGATAAATCAATCCACTTGCTTATTGATTACATCTACCAAAGGCAATGAAGTTTGTTCTTGTCTTCTATGTGTCTCTTCTTCAATCATATAAGACTATGAATATATCAAGAAGAAGACAAGCTCTACTTTCTCCTATAGAAGTAGACTGTAATGAAGAGTTTAAAGTAGAAGAAGTTCTAGACTCAAGACAATGCCGAAATAAATTGGGATATCTTGTCTATTCGCATGTATATGATATTAATGAATGTACATAGAAGTCAATAAAAAATCTTACAAGGTCCAAGAAAGTTTACATTCTACTTTTTTTTTTTTTTTTTTTTTTTTTTTTTGTAGCTTGTGTATATTTGTGACGCTAAAGAGATGAAGAACTAACAACCAATAGATTCAATTCAAGAACTTTCATTTGCAGACTTACCAGATGAGATAATATGATTGTTATAATCTTCAAGATGACAAAATCAAAATAAAGATATTTAAAAATGGCATATCTTTCCTCAAATAGATGGCCAGATATAACATATTTGATATCATGATCTTGGAAGAGACCCCTGATGTTTGATGATTTCATTAGAAGTAAGAACAATTCCTAATAGTGTTCTAAATATTTTATTCGAAGGAAGTTATGAAGGCCTCAACAATGATAAAATAATAGGGTGGTCTATTTATCTTGATATAATATGCTATTAATAGCTGAGAGGGCCTATCAATTATCTTTGAAGAAAACAAAGATTAGAATATGTGGCAAATATAATTTGTCGTATCTTTGATTTTTCAATATATAAAGACCGCTCCTTATGAAAATTGTCTCTAGAAGAGAAAATAAT